TATTGGGGAGCATGGTCAGAGTCCAGGAGAACTTTCCATATGTAGTAATCTACTTGAAATTAACTATAAAAGACTGGAAAAATTTAGAGAAAAATGGAGGATAATACTGGTTGTTGCTTTCAATGTATATGTAGGTACTCTCTGTAGGTAAATGGAAATATACACTTTATCCAATGTAAAATAGCAATACTATATATATATAGTTAATGGGTATAAATCTGATGGGCTTTCAGGAGGTGGTCACATGACTAGTTTCCTGAATAATCAAAAATGTGAATGTTGTGGTGCTGCATTGTAGCTTCCTGAATATAAAAAGGACTCGTATCTGCCATGCTTGCAATGGCCCTCTTGCACAAGTTTCAACAATTGCCATATGCACTATGAGTTGACACGTGTTAAGTGTTGGTAAAAAAAGGACCCGTAGATCGGCTCAGGATTCCGATGAGGATCCATTTGTAGTCAAGTCTCCTGCTAAAAAAATGCGCAAAACTCCCAAAGGAAAACGCTCCAAGTCCTCTAGCAAGGTCTCATCCAAGAAGATGGACATATCTGACAGGTGGGTCTACAATCACATGGAGTTAACTTCATCTTTTGCTTATTTTTATTCAGCTCTTCTTGTGGGAGCTCTGATGAGTGTGTCTTTCATCGAGGGTAAATTTTGACAAAGGCGCTAAACTTTTCTGTCCAGAATGGATGTTGAACTTGATTCATCTCCCTTGTCCAAAAAGTAAGTTCCTTTTATTAAGTTATTTATTATTGCATTGCTGAGCTATCCTTCGGAATTCCTGTGCAGGAGCGTACCCTATGGGAAAGAATTTGACAAGTCAATGTGAGTGACCAGTCAATGGCATTCCAGCTTTCATTAAAGCATTTGTAGTGCAAAAGCAAAGAAGATGCAAGTCGACAACAAGAAGGCAATGCGTAAACTTGGAAAGGAAATTGCAGATGATGAAGCAGAGATTGAGAAGTACGAAGAAAGTGGCAAGGAGGGGTCTGACGGTGATGACGATGATCTCCCTTCTGAAGGAAAAAAGAAGCATATCAAGCAAGTCTAATATTTCTTTTGTTTGAACAAAAATGCTGATACACCACGTCAGAAAATCTGAGGCGCTTCTCGAAGACCTAGTACGAGATCCCGTTCCATCGTGCGTAATCATGCTATCTTGTAATCATGAATCCTAAAAGCTCTTTCCAGTTATCCCAAGCTCCGTAAATGTGGTATCTTCAAACCAGCACTTGTCGATAAATTCATGAAGACTACATATGGCGCTCCTTTGGTCAATCTGCCATCGTAAGTTGCCTGCTTGTGTCCTTATCAATCTGATATGTTGCCTTGCAGTGGCAAAGCGTTCATTTCCTGGAAGGGTACTCCCAAGGATGACGAATCAGGTGAAGTCATAGGAATGGCATCCCTGACAAAGCTGAAGAAAGCGTATCCAAAATTGGATATAAAGTGAGCAACCTAGCATTTGGATGCAACCCTTTCATTTGAGTGATGATTGCTCCTTCAGATATCTCGTACGCCTCGCCACCTTTGTTATGGATCGTGAAAAGAATGTGGTCAACCTGTCCCGAATCGATCCACTTCAGTTGACCAGCAGGGAGGTTGGTGATCGTGGGAGTCGTATGGTTTATATTAGAGACCGCAAACGGCCCGCTCTTTGCATCTCCCTGATTGTTGTCGGAGAAGACCACACCGAGACGCCTAAGGTGTCTGGCGATACATACAGCAAATT